CACTTTAGAAAGTTAATCTGAAATTCTGGAACAGCTTACCACATAAAGATGTTAATACCAGCACTAACTATACTAGTAGAAAACTAGAAGTGTCTCCTAGTGGAGTTAAATAAGTTATAGCACTACATACACTGGATGTTTATTACACGATCAATGAAGCTTGTGTTCAAAGGACTATCAAGAAGTGTACAACTCACCAGAGCCTTAATGTGAAGTGGCAAAAGCAAATTTTAAAAAGTTACATTGTCTGATTGAATCACAACTTTTAAAACTATGCCTAGAAAAGGCTAGGAAATACTGCGACAAAAATGCCTTGATGATGACCTACTCCCACTGTGTGGCTCCACTGTTCTGTGGACCCAATGGTGCTCAATAATACTTCATTTTAAAATTTTGCTTTGTAACAACATGGCAAAAGTGTTTGGTGACCACCCCGACTCTGTAACCCAGCAATCAGTCACCTTCTTGCCTCTCCATCCTACCTCCTTCTGATCTGATAGCCCATTGCTTCCACTTAGATGTAATTCATGAATCTACATAATCATGTTTATAATTTTAATTCTGCATAATATTCCATAATTATGTGAACATATATTTAAGCTGTTTCCAGTTTTTTCCTTCTCAACTGATGCTGCCATAAACATTTTTATGCACAATCACATTTTTCCCCCCTTAATCATTTCCTTGGTGCCAGTTTCCAGGATTGAAAACACTAGATCGAAGAATATGAAAACTTCTATGTTCTCCTGATATGTTTTGACAGATTGCTTTTCAAAGGAATGAGGCTTAAACTTTTGTTTTTCAAATGACACCATCGAAAAAGTAAAAGACAACCCACAAAATGAGAGGAAATATCTGCAAATCATAACGTCTAGTAAGGGTCTTGTGTTTACAATATCTAAATATGTCTTACAACTCAATAATAAAAAGACAACCCAATTTAAAAAGGGGCAAGTATCTGAATAGATATTTCTCCAAAGATACACAAATGACCAATAAATAAGCACAGGAAAAAACGCTCATTATTAGCCATCAGGAAGATACAACTCAAAACCAAAATGAGATAGCACTTCACACCCACTAGGATGGCTGTAATCAAAAAAACAAGTGTTAGCAAAGATGTGAAGAAACTAGAATCTCATATACTATTGGTGGGAATGTAATATGATGCAGCTGTTTTGAAAAACATCCTAGTTTCTTAAAATATTAAACAGTTACCATAAGACCTAAAAATTCCACTCTTAGGAGTATACCCATGCAAACTGAAGACTATATCCTCATAAAAACTTGTGTATAAATGGTCTTAACAGCATTATTCATAATAGCCAAAAAATGGAAGCAATCCAAATGTCCATCAACTAAGAATAAATAAATGTAGTATATAATACAGTGGAATAGTATTCAACCATAAGAAGAAATTCAACCCATAGAATGTACAACGCCAAGAGTGAACTCTAATGTGAACTATGGACTTTGGGTGATTATGAGGTGTCACTGTAGGTTCACAGCTTGTAACAAATGTACCATTCTGTTGGATGTTAATAATGAGAGATGCTATGCATGTGTAGGGGCAGGGGGCACATGAGACCTCTCTGCACTTTTAGCTCAATTTTACTGTGAATCCTAAACTACTCTGAAAGAAAATTTTTAAAATAACTCATACGACATGGACGAACCTTAAAAACATGGCATGTGAAATAAACCAGATACAAAAGACCACATTTGATTCCATTTATATGAAATGTTCAGAATAAGCAAATTTACAGAGATAGACTGTAAAGAGTGGTTGCCAGGGACTGGAGGAGAGGTGAATGGAGGAGTGATGGCTAAGGGGTCCCCTTCTGGGGTGTTGAAAATGTGCTAAAATTGATTGTGGTGATGGTTTCATAAATGAATACACTAAAAAACATGGAACTATATACTTTAAATAGGTGAACTAAATGATATGTGAATAATAGCTAAATAAAGCTGTTTTAAAAAAAAAGTCATCTGATGCAATGAAACAGCCAGTCTAAATCATATTTTGGAATAACACTCAATGACATAGGAAATGTTAACCATAAGGGAAAAAACAGGTGATTTTTAAAACCCCATAATCAGTAAATCCCTGCTTTGCAAAACACACACATACATAAATCATAGGGCTGCCCACAGCTGATGGAATCATTCCCTTTCTACTGGCCTCTGGGCTGTCTGTTTCAGATTTCTCAACATTACAAACACTAGGGAAGAGGAACCACTTTTCCGATACCCCTCGTTACACTAAGGTCCTTCCTGGAAGTAGAAGGGACCATCATAAAGAACATTTGTCCAGCCCTGGGCCTCACCACAATGCTAGTTAGAAGTGAGGCAGGGGCTGAGCTGGAACAGTGTCTGGCCCCCAGGAGACTCAGAATCACGCTTACCAGGGGAAGCCAGGGCCATGGAGCTTGTGTGCACTGTTTCCAGGCAGGTACGAGAAATGGAAGCCTCCAGGGCTGAGGACCAAGGGAGTCAGATCAACCATGTGGCTGTAAGACAGGACAAAGGGCAGGGACATCGGCTGTGGGCTCCTCCTAAGCAGGGCCTCCCCAGCCTTGGTGAGCACATCTCTGACATGGGCACAGGGACTCCCTTCCATGGAGCAGACCTCTGAGCCCAGACTCCTTCCCTGGACAATGAGAATAACCATTCAGGCCTGTGGTGAAGATTAACTAAGAGGTGGGGAGAAAATAATAGCTGAGCCTGGCACACAGCATGCTCCCCAAAATGCTTGCGTTTCATTTGCTTCAAGCCCAGAATAAAGTCCTTTCACCTCTTTGGATTCCGTGACAGGCCAGTCCGGTTTAATTTCACTTCAGAGCTTGAAACTTCCAGTTTCTCCACCTGCAGGGAAACAAAGGGGTAATCTCAGGACAAATATGGGGGCCTCACTGTGAAGAAAATCACCTTATAGAAGAACTATGAGAACTATGTAAGTTTCAATCAGCAACTATGTCAGCTCATCCTCTGTGCCCACTCTGAACTCAATGTTACGGAGACAGGGGATGAGACAGGGGTCAAGAGCCAACTAAGGAGGTCCTAACGCAGCCTGGGGGATGGGAGGCTGGCAGTTCGGAAGGGCACAGTAGAGGAACTCAGAGGGCAGCATGGAGAACAACACCCACAATAAGAGGCAAGTATAGGGCTGAAGATACGGTGAGGGGCCTGTGGTTCTCCATCTGTCCTTTGACATGTCCCCAGGATTCTGCCCAGTGCACATGGGGCTGCTTTGTTCTGCTGAGGCCAAGCAGGTAGAACTCTGTGACTTCAACCGCCACCCTGACTCTTCAACCCAAGTAGCCCCCCTTTTATCTGCTTTATCCATTGCCATTCTACCCAGTCTACAAAAGGGTTCTGCTGCTTATAAACAAAGTTTTGAGAGCCACTGCTGTGAACCCAGGAGAGCTGCTGGGGTGCTCCTGAGCAGGGGTACAGTGGCTGCCCCTCTCAGAGCCACATGGAGGGAGCAATACACCCACTGACCGACTTTCTGGGCAGCGGAGGAAAGGGGCCAAAGACCCTGGGCATAGTGTAGACAGAGGGTGATGGGGCCACCACAGAGGCCATGGTAGTGGCAGGAGGTGGCAGTGGCGGAGGTGGCAGTAGTGTTGATGGCAGGCACAAGGAGCTTAACCGGCTCTGCAAGAGGATGGATTCTTGTTTCTTCGATTTTGGCTTCCTTCTCTTCTTCTTGGCATCTGTGACAAAAGATGCCAGTGAGTGCTTACCCTGCAGGGTAGAGTGGGGGCCAAACATGGTGGTAGGGTTCTTCGCACAGCCTCCCCAAGGAGGGGAGGTAGGTCACCACAAAGAGCACCATGGAAAGTGAGAGCCCCAAGCAAGACAGGCCTCCCAATGTGATGCAGAAATAGCCCCACCACCAGCATAGTCTTATCATGGAACACAAACACACCAAAAGAAGTGAACTCAATCTAATCACAGCATTACAGCCACTGTCTGAGACATACAGAGAAAGGAAAAGCAAATACTACCAGTGACCATGACAACAGATATAAACCCATAAAGTGGGAGACCCAAAAGAACAACACTGTTCTTCAAGTCAATGGCAGGGGGTGAAAAGTGAGGGTATCCTACCTCAAAAGGGAAATCGGTAGATGTGGCCACAGATCCTCATTTGCCATCCCTGTATGGTCACTAATGTGGCCCTCTTTCATTTCATCCTAACAAGTACCCCAATATGGACAAAAATTATATGGTCACCCAGTGAAAAGAAACCTAGGAGGCCTAACACCCAAAACAATGTGTGGGCCTTGTTGGGTCCTGACATGACAGACCAAGTGTAGAAAGGCTTCTGCAGAACATCAGGAAGATCCGATTATGGACTAAGTATCAGCTAGTATCAGGGAATTGTCAATTATGCCAGGTTTAACATTGTGATTATGTCAGAAACTGTCTTTTTTAAATTAAGAAGCATTCTAAAGTATTAAGGTTTTCCATAAAATGCTCCAAAAAAAGCCGGGGGGGGGAGG